TCATGTATTGTGAAACTGCAGCTTCATGCTAACGCAAAATAAATATGATCTGCATGCTTCTGACTTCCATTTTTCCGCACTTACACTTTTGGCACGTTTTTTTCGCCAAAATACGGTCAACAGCACTGCAAGCCTGTGCACAGTGATTTGCAAGCGAAAACAACAGTTTAAAGAACTGCTAAACGGATTGACTGCATAGAACCAGTCTGTATGTGTACAAAACTAACTGTTGCAAATGTCTAAATGACTTGTTGCTCTCATAGCACTTCACACAGTATGGATTTTCATCACGCAGAACATACTTCTTCCCAAACAAAGACTCATTGCAGTAGTGGCAGTCATAGCGTTCCGCCATCTTGGATTTCAACCATTCCTAAAAGATAAACGTGTTTTAAATGGTGCAGACAGGTTAAGGGGGTCACTGAAAATGTCATTGTTAGGCATGAAACTTAACTTGTAGACCTATAATACCAGTGCTTAACATCTAGATAAAGGCTAACTATATGACGCAATCTTTCTAAAGCAAGAGCGGAAGGCATGCCAATATATTAGTCCCAGCTGTTATGTCTCCCTCAGTAAAGCCCTGCTAATATTCCTGCGTTATCCCTCAGAACTGTCCAGACTAGCTTTTGTGCACACAATGCTTGCCCGCTCTGAGCTCTACACCAAACTTGTAGCTTCTTTTCTCAGCGAGTCTCATTCAAACACAACAAAAGTCTCTATAAAGCTCGTCTTGCGGAGTCACTTCAGTAAACTTGGTAAACTATTCCAACGTGATCTCATGATACTTTGTATGTATTTTACGTAAAACGTGGTACTATAAAACGTACATTTACTTACGTTTTTACAGGCACTAAAACGTACAATACTGACGTATTTTCAGCCTCTAAACGTACAAAACTGACGTATTGACGACACCTAAAAATGAATCCTTATGAATATTGAAATCGCGGCATTCATTTTATTAGTTTAGTTGTCATATTAATTACCTTGTTTTCAGTTGCATTAAATTGTTTACTCATTTACTTATGAAATAATAACATTTCGTTTTCTTGTGTGATTTCTGCTGCCAGCTCGCTTCCAAGAATATTCCTACATAATGTTAAACACGACTTTAGTTTAAACCTTAAAATAAATAAAATGTCTGCAATCTTGTGTGATTTCTGCTGCCAGCTCGCTTCCAATAATATGCCTACATAATGTTAAACACGACTTTAGTTTAAACCTTAAAATAAATAACATTTCTGCAATCGTTTAACCTTTACTTGTCATGTAATGTTTACTTTGATTGTCATGGGCCACAAAAGGCGTTTTCTCCGACATGCTGTGACTGACAATAGAACTATAAAATACGCCAAAAACACAACATAATTACGAAATGAAACCATTTTATTCGTGCGCTGTAATCCAAATCTTCCGAATCCATACGACTGCGAGGAACAGACCCAAATCCAAGCCTTTTTTCGGCGATCTTCTCCATCTCGAGCAGCGAGTCCAGTGACCGTCAGCAACAGCAAAACCCGCACTGACTGACGCGCTCTTTACAAATCAGTGTTGCCAACTAATTTTCAGGGGAAGTTGCTAAAGGAAGGTTGATTTGTTGCTAAAAGTTGCTAAATGACGTTGCGATGTCATTGCGCGGTGAAGTCATTGCGTAATCACAATGCAAAATTGTGTCACTGCATCAAATCTCAGCAAAAAATAAAATGTATATATGTTAAAGGCACAATATGTAATTTTTGCCGCTGGAGAGCGCGTATTCAAAATAAACAAAGAGACAAAGGCGTAGTTTGATGACTCCGTGACTGAGTGTGGAATCATGGGAGT